ACATGCAGTAAATTTTTTTTATTTTTTTTTCAATTTACAGTTTTAAGACAAATTTTATTCTTTACCTAACTAATTCAATTTTTTGGACTTTGATTGTACTAAATTGCAGATTCATTGTTCGAACTCAACTCCACCTCCTTGAAAGGTTTAGTCTCCGCTTATTTCTAGTTTTTAGTTTTTTATTATTATAAAGGGAATTATTAGGCAATTAATGCTATTGATTGTTCATAATCATGCAAATGTAGTTATCCTAAACCTAAATGACCTAATTTTACATCTAATTTTACAAAAATCTAATATTACCCTAATCCTAACCTTAATATCGTAATAATCTAACAATAACCAATACTATCCATGCCCTACTAAAACTGAACTTAAATGCTACGCTAATGCTAGTTATATTTAGTGTGATATATAACACAAAAATATGTTATATATCCATTATAGGTGAATCAAAAATTAGTTAACGATAGCCGTAGATCCTCGTCCAATAATTACTACCAATTTTTTTGGAGTTATAATATAAGATAGACGATTTAAATTTTGGTATGGAATTTAATTCTATACCGAAAATGATTGTTTACCTTATATTATAAGTAGAAAGGATTGGTACGTAACTATCGGATCTGTCCAGTTCGAACAGGTTCAGAATATAGTAGTGCGCACATCTAACTTTGTATACTTTGTGCATTTTCGTTTCTAGAAAATTTTGGTCGCACGCACTCGTTGTTCTCCGTGTACAATAAGCGTATGTTATACGTTTCGGTCTATTGGCGACGGATTTATTGGCAACGGATCAGGTACCATGGATTTATGCGTTTCGATTGCACGTACTCATTGTTAAACGTATTGGCGACGAATTTATTGACGACGAATCTTGTAATGTCACCAATATCTATTGGTGATGAATTTTGGGGCATTGGTGACGGATTTCCCTATCGCCAATGCCCTCTTTTTTACTAGTGTATCTTCTCCAATGCTTATTTCCCGATAATCAAAAGAATGTTGAATATATATGCTCATGCAAGGGACCAAAAGGCAGACACATTTCTAAGCCATGGTTAACTCAATTCATATTTTAACTTCACATAAATGTTATCCTAGTTCTAGACTGACTTGCTATATTGTTTCTACGTGTGTATCAACTCAAATAATGCATTAAACTCATAATAAAAAGAAAAACATGTATATAAGCTCAAAATAGGAGTTGAGCTACTATCCACTTAAGTGGATACTAGCATTTGTCCACCCAACTTTTATAGCTGTTGGATAGATCTTTTTGATGAAGATCTTGATCAAGTAAATGCACTGCATTTATTAAGAGAGGGGTATTTTGGGAAAAATAATGAAATGTGAGGAGCTGGAGTAATTATTGCCTCACTCTTGATTTGGGGGAAGATGGGTTGCATGCAGAGGTTGATTGTTTTTTAATTTTATTTTTTTGTGGGGAGGGGGAGGAAAAAACACAAAAAACTCACATTCGTTCGATGCAGCAAAACAACAAATTTGAATTTGGCTCCTTCCCATCGCCTCCGCCCTCGTACAGGAACAAGAACCCTTTCGAGTTTCTAAGGTGCATCCCATTAAGATGCATCTTCAAACTTTACAGTGCCAAATATTCTTACTCGTTGTAGTGGGATGAGCTATTGAAATAAGAGACTTGCATAAAGCATATGTTGTTTAGCTGATAATATGTTAAATAATGGAAAACAAAGTAGTAGTAGATTCACTGAGCATATCTTGTTGTCCTTCATCCTCTTATCTCTCTTGATTCGGAAAGGAAGAAAAAAAGAGTAGCACACTCCCATCTTCTCCTCTCACTGCTAGCATCCATTCTCCCTATGCACCATCTTCGCGTTCCCCCTTTCTGTCGGTTCCCTTCATCCTCTCCGTTGGACTTCCCTCTTCCGCTCGACAGGAATCCCCTCCTCATACCAACCAGCACCCGACCTATCACATCAACATTCATGAATCATAATATTAAATCAAAATTTCTAATTCATTATAAATACTGGAACCATGATATATACTCTTATATTTCAAATCAATGCTTCTTAAATGAGATTAATATGGAGAATATCCTTCTCTAATGGGTTATTTCTCACTGCATGCAAGTATCAATGTCCAGATCCAATAATGTAATAGTGTCATTGGTCAATTTTCCTTTCTTTGTGTTTTTACTAGATTACCATCCCACAACAACTCCGTGCCGCTTCGTTAGATTTGATTTTGATCCATCAACACAATCCAACGACTGGGTGGACGAAGGGATAGTAGCTCAACTCCTTAAGATAGCAAGAAAAAAGATACATACGTATAATTAAATTTTGAAAAAAGAGAAAAAACCAAGACTACATATACATATTATCATACTCTCTTTAAAAGTACGAGTTTGGAAAAATCTTTTCATAGTCAATATTACCCTTAATTTTTTTACTATTACATTGTTATCCTTATCTATTCTAATTATTCTATCTTTTTTGAATTGGTAATTAAATGATTTATCTTATTCATAATAAGACTTAACATATTATTGGATAAAAGAGATACGTTTGATATAATTCAAATCATTTATTTATTTTAGTTCACAAAGAAATCTAAAAAATATATGCTAGCCAGCATCTAAAAGTTTTTGGACTTTGTAAAAAATATCCTCCAAGTTTTTTAAATTGAAAAAACACACCTACAAATTTAAAAATTACAAACAAACACTCAAAATTTAAATTTTATAAAAAACACCCTGAGATTTTCAAAGTCATTAATAAATTGAAAATATAGGAATTATAAATAGTCTATAAACAACCTATAATCTATAGAAAAGGCTATAAGTTTAAAAATTGCAAATAATACCTAATATTCATAATTTATAAAAAAAATATCATGGGAATTTCTAACCTATAGATACTAAAATGAATATACAAAAATACTAACAACCCCTAGAAAATTAAAAATTTACAAAAAATATCATACTCCCTTTAAAAATATAGGTTTACGAAAAAAATTTCATGGTCAATATTACCCATACCTTTTTAAAAAAAAAACATAACTAATTAAAAATCTATAAATTTGAAATTTAGAAAAAAACACCATTAAAGTTTAGTATATTGCAAATTACCCCTCCTAAGTTTGAAATTTTTTAATAATTTTTATATAGTCACTTGATTTCACTGTAATTTTGATAGTTTTGTGTATTTGTAAATTATAAAATTTCAGGGTGTTTTTTTACAATTTTTAAAAATTTTGAGGGTGTTTCTTTTGTAGTTTTCTAAATTTTCATTATGGTTTTGTAATGCATAATACGTCAATTAATGATGATATTGAAGAGTAAGTTGTTTTTAAGATGTATTAGGCTATAGTTAAGTGTGCACATCACTAATCCTAGGCAGTATAGTTTATATATGCAAACATTTTCAGACAATGTATATAGTGGTTAAAAGGATTTTAACTTTAATGTACTATTTTTTATAAAATATATTTAATATGAATCCCCCATATAATTTAGACTGTGGTCTATCATAATTTTAATATGTTTGATTGATTGACTATATAGGCATATAAACCATATATTACTTTACTTCTTCGCATGAACTAATATTTGGCGCTTAATAATTTAAATTATTATTTTTAAATTTAATATAAAGAGAAGCTCTAATAACATTTATTTATTTACCTACAGGATAATACAATCTCAATTCTTATTTTTTGCTTGAGATTTATTCTAAAGTTATGCGTATCAAATTAGTAACTAAAATAATAATTATTTATGCTTAAATTAGGATGATTGTAGTTGGTCACTAACTATGAAATTTTCATGGAGATATATACCTTACTTTCTATAGTTATCTGCACTGCCCATTATATTTTATAAATTAGTTGTTAATTTGACATATTAAATTACTTTTCATTTGTAGAAATTTTTTCTTTGACTTTTGAATTGTGTAATCACTATATCACCATTCTAGCGTAGAAATGACCTCAATCTAAATGGCCTCAAGCCTATGTTTTAGTTGAACTGAAATATATATTATTGTTACTATGTATATATTTTTTAAGAAAATTATGTTAACACTTTTTAAACAGAAGAGAATATTCTAACCTCTGATATTATAAAAAGTAAATATAGCCAATCGAGTGATTAGCATAAGAGAATTTGTATTAGAAAGAAAGATAATGACATTGCTAACAATATTACCAATAGCAAACGTTAACCTATTTTGTGTAGCCTAATTACTGGCTATAAGCATCGAGGTTTTCATATATATACTTCATAAGTTATTAAAAAGGGTCATATAATCGTATATAATAAAATTGATTTAATACTAAATAGTAATATCGTTGTAAATGAGCAATCACAAAGATGTTAGGGACTAATATGTATGTATTTAAGATTTCAGGATGAATATCTTAATAACCTAATTATATAAGCACGCCCACTTTATCACCTATTCTGTTTACTTTTCTCCTCGCTCATTCTCCACCAATTTCACTGTCACGTTTGGAGAGAAATAGAATTCATGTTGGCGATGTCTTCTCTCCCTCAATACCTCAATCTCATATTTTTTAAATTAGTTTCATTATTTTTTTTTAATAATTTCTTGGATTCATTTCATGCTTTATTCTGTGAAATGCCTTCTTAGATTCAATTTAAATATAGTTTTATTTAATTATTATTTTTTCCTATTTATGGGCAATTAATCACCAGAATGTTTAGGTCTTTTTTGTCCATTTCATATTTTGAATTAACAGTTTATTTTACAAGAATTTTTAAAAAGATCACTCTTTTAAAATATTAGCAAAAGCGACTATTTTGCATAATAATTGACAAAATTGACAAAAAAGGTCGATTTTGCAAACGATCATCTTTAAAATACCCAAGACTAATAGTCCCGTGTAATTAGCGAACATTAATGACAAAAGTAATTAAAGTCAGAAAATACACGTGACTGCCACTCTTGTGTATTTTGCAGTCAGAACCAGAAAATACACGAGACTACTGTATATGTTCTATACTTCTATATACAATACAATTGTCACATGCAAATGAGTTATAATAGCATTTTTCATTCACAACGTTTAGGGCAAGATTTGATAGGGATCTTGCATCAAAGAAAAAAGAAAAGTTTATATTTAGAGCGCATGGCGAAATATATTATAATCTCTTTGCTCTAATTTCGTAAGAAAATAATCCTTTATATTTTTAGTTTTAAATCTATGGTACAGAGAATGGGCTATAAAATTGAATGAGAATATTAGATAATGTAAATATGAGTGAAATCATAACTAAAAGTTAATGTGGATATGACTCAAATCACAACTAAAAGTTTAATGGACATATTGCAAGTAAATTCATACGTAAATTTTTTTTGTGAATTGAATAATTACCCATCTTTTGAAAACTTCAAAATACTAATAAACAGAGATGTACTAGATCAATGTGCTTATAACTCATAAATAGTAGATCATGTGGCGATAGTTTGGGTTGAAGGAAACAATATCAATATTTCATTTGAAAGAGAGATTATTGAGTTGATGATCAATCCCGCAAAAAAATTTATTTTCTTTTTTTATTTTTATTCTATTTTTATCAAATTTAATAATCATGTTATTTAACCACATGCTTTGCACGTGCATCTCAACTAGTCTATGTAAAAGAGAGACGGAAAGCTGGAAGGAACAAATCAAACCCAAACTTGGCCACGATCTCATACTCGAGATCACCTTTTGAATCCCTAAAATTTATTAAAAAATTCCAAAAAGTTCAAAGTTAAGAGGAGTTTTCTGATACTTTAAAACTTATGAAGGGTTATGTGCTAATTGTCCAAAGTTACGAGGACTTTTCTGATATTTAGCCAAAATTAAACTATAAAAATGCAAATATTTAGGCTAAATAGCACTTATATATCCTGTTATTTAACCTACTTTTCACTTATATACCCCCACTTGTACTTGGTAGCAAGAAAATACCCTAAAGTTTTTAAGTGTACACACTTATATATCCTCACTTGTTTTTGGCAGCACTTACATACCTTAAAGTTTTTAAAACTTACACCTAAATACCCTAATATTCTTAAAATGGGCATTTAAATACCTAAGATTTTAGAACTTGCACTTAACTACCCTCAAGTTTGTATAACTGAGGATGTTTATGTGCAAACTCTAAAAACTGTAGGGTATTTAAGTGCCCGCTGTAAAAACTTAGGATATTTAAGTGTCGCCAAAAAAAGTTAAGGTATATAAGTGCAAGTTTAAAAATTTTTAGGATATGTTCTTGCTACCAAATACAAGTTAAGATATATAAGTGAAAAATAGGTGAAACAATGGGCCGTATGAGTGCTATTTAGCCCTATTTATATGATCAGAAATCGGTCTCCAACTCATCGGGTGGAATAAAATCTCAACCCGAACCCGAATCCATATCGCATTTCCGTTCGGTTCATATTTTAGTCGAATCCAAATCTGAACCGAGACGGTAAGTTTACTTGAGGGTGACCATATCTGTTGCTCATCTTCAAAAACCCTCTCTAATCCATTTCTCTCCTCCCGGACTCCCTTCGTTTTCAACGGTTAGCTGTAATTATTTATTTACATATGCAAGTTTTATTCTGCAATAATTTCTTGTTAATTAATTTATTTTCTTTTTTTTTCAGGTAAAAAAGAATAATGAGTCCTCCAATATTATCTATTAATAATGGAAATAGTCCTGCAGTTTCATCAGGTAATTTCTCAAAAATTCTTAATGTTAAAAGCTAGGGTTTCTGAAATGTGATCGATGCGGAGATTTAAATTTTATTAATAAGTGCAGTTTTGACATTTTGTGGATTCTGATGGTTTTATTTTGCTTAGAGGTCAAGAACTAGGGTGAATATGAAAGTTTGAAGATCTTTTTTGAAAATATAGTTTTTTTAAATTGTGTAAATAAGCTTAAATTTTTTGTTTTTATTTTGAAAATTCTAGATTTTGATTTTATTTTGCTTAGAGGTGAAGAACTATGGAGAACTGCAAGAGTTTGAATTAACTGTTTGAACAAAAGGTTTGGTTAGGAACCGTGTATACAACTTTAAGTTTGGTTTTGATTTTGAATTCTGGAATTTGAAGATTTTATTTTGTTTATTAATTGAGAAGTATGAAAAGTTGAGGAAGTTGTTGAAAAAATGGTGAAGGAAACTTTATAACTGAGTTTAAATTTTATTTTTGATTGTGACTTTGACCATGTTAGTTTACTTGGAGGTAATAGCTATGGCAAATATGTTAGTTTGAAGTCGAGAAAATAATTTTGATCAAGGGAACTGTGTAATTTAGTTTAAAATCTGTTCTTCAAGTCAACTGCCATAAATGCCAATTGCTATCATGTTTCAGAACTATAGTTTTCTGGTCATAACTATTCCAAGTGGTTGAAGAACTAGAACGTAAATGTGACAAATTAGGTTTTTTTTTATTTTAATATTTTGAGTTCTCTTTGAGCAGACTTATTTTTTAATTTAATTTAATTTTATTTTATTGTTTGTAGATGCTTATCTGAGTAAATTTCGCAACTCCAAGGTTGAATCTTCAAAGCCATTTGCATCGGTCACCATGGAAGTCACCATGGAAGATGAAAAGCCGTTTAATTTTTTGCAGATACTATTTGGTATGTGGGGCGTTGTTTCTTGTTGACATGGGACTAGAACATATTTTTTTAAAGTTAAGACTACAAAATATTTCTGATTGCAGCTATGTAAGTAAAGTTAGTTACATTCTTAGCCTTCTGTAAACTGTCAGGATACATAAAGCATAGATCTTTTAAATCGAGATCAGCGCAAAAAAAAAAAAAAGAACACAAATAATAAGGTAAGAAGGGAGGAGGGAGGCTTTTGAGGACTTTGTCTGGAGGAAAATGGAAGAGGTGTAAGTTATCGTGGTATGTTAATTGGAAAAAGTTCTATTTGTTTGTGAAGTAAAACAGGTTGTAATTTTTTGGGTGCTGGGGTCTAAATTTAATATAATGACAGTGATATTGTTTATTTTTTATTTTCATTTACTTGTTAACTTCTTGTTGGGCTTAATTAAATCTTTCTTTGTTTCTTTTAGATGGTATTATAGCAGGAGGCACTGCTGGTGTTGTTGTTGAATCAGTCCTATATCCTATAGATACGATAAAGACTCGGCTTCAGGCAGGTTATTCTTGCTGAAAGTACTTATGACTTCATAATTTCATATGTAAACTATGAATGCTCTAGGTGAAGTATTCAATACTGTTGTTACTAGATTTTTCTGAAGGCTAGATCCTCAAAGCTTGTCCATGAGTACTTATGTAACATGCTGATTGTCACAATCTTCTCATCAGTTCGAGCACTTAGGTCTGAATTTAAAGTTTACGTGTGAATTTAGTATTATTAATACTTGTATGCTTAGGACTTTGCCTCATGATATTAATGTCTATCATTATGTGCAATGATTGTAACTATGCATTCATGGTCTCAATTTGCGCTCTCGAATTTTTTGATTGTTTAGGTTAAGGAATCCAGTATTTATGTTCTTGTGAGAGCAGTTGGTCACTTTCTACGAACCATTCATTTCATTTCAGGCTGCTCGTGTTGGGAGCAAAATCCAATGGAAAGGCTTGTATTCAGGGTTGGCTGGAAATCTTGCTGGGGTCTTACCGTGAGTTTGGAAAATCTACTTTTATTGTGTGTCCTATTAATCGCTTTTTTAAGTACTATATGTTCAGGAGATACCCAAATATGTGAATTTACAAGAAAACCACATTTATCATATTTTATGTGAACATAAACATTTCAATTGATGTAAATCTTGGAGGGCACATTAGCATGGATGCACTTAAATGGTTAGTCGCGCTAATGTAACTGAAGACATTCTTGCCAACATCATGGTTTTCTTTGCTTATATTCTGTTGGACCTTCTTTTTTGTAAAATTATCTCATCACTCTGTAACCCTCATTACTGTTTATCCTTTTAATCCACAGGGCATCAGCTGTTTTCGTGGGTGTATATGAGCCCACCAAACAAAAACTGTTAAAAGTATTTCCAGAAAATCTTAGTGCTTTTGCTCATCTGGTAAGGGAATTTAAGTATAGTATATTTTATGTTAACCTGATTAGTGATTCCTTGCTAAAAATCTCATATTTGTACTAGAGGATGATTTATTGAAATTTTATGCACCAGTAATCTTTACACCTTATTAAGCCATGCTTATATTGAATCAATGGTACATCCATGGATTTTACGTGAAAGGATGAATTGTTTTTTTAACTTTTCTGAAGCAATTTAGTATGCTTTCACTTTTTTTAGCTATTGCTTTCTAAATGAGGTCTTAAGTTTGTGGTTCATGATAAAATTTACATGTGTAAACTAGATATCTAACAACCTTCTTAATATCAATTCAACTGAAGTGAAATTAAAACATGTAAACCAGATTATCTGACAACCTTCTTAATCTCAATTCAACTGAAGTACTCTTGAATGGATATTTCTTCCTTGTATGTTCCAAAACTTAAGACTGCAGGTGCCATTGGAGGTGCTGCATCTTCACTTATTCGTGTCCCCACAGAGGTAAATTTCTATGCCCATTCGAAGATTATATATATGAAGTATGTCCATCCAAAGGTTAAAAATAAAGTATGTCCATCCGAAGATTATAAATATAAAGTTCTGGTTCGTCTAAAACCTATCGTCTCCATTTTCCAGGTAGTCAAACAAAGAATGCAGACAGGGCAATTTGCCTCTGCACCTGATGCTGTTCGCCTTATAGTAGCTAAGGAAGGGTTCAAAGGTCTTTTTGCTGTAAGGACTTTTCCGTTAAACATTATTGTTATCCACCTTTTGGTTAGATATCCCATGTTCCTTCACAATCAAAGAGATGATAGCAATACCGTATTTCGGTCCCTATCATGTCCTTTTTGAAGTTTGAACACTGGTGTTTGAGACTTAATCATGTTATTTTTGTTGAATTTGTAGGGATATAGTTCCTTTCTACTGCGAGATCTTCCATTTGATGCAATCCAATTCTGTCTGTACGAGCAACTTCGAATAGGATATAAGATTGCAGTAAGCTTACTACTCTTCCATTATTTCTACCATAGTTTCATGTATTCGCTGTTACTATAGTTCCATGTATTCGCTGTTAATCATGATAGCGCTTACTGATAAACACAAAACTAAATCTTACCTCTTACCATTAGTATCACCAAATCCTTTTTCCTTAATTGGATAAGAATAAGATCATAAACTGGAGAGTATTCCCTAGTCTATAAACTTTTTCTGGAGTGTGCTACTGATGGAGAGAAACAAAGACTAATTTATAGACTAGGACTCCTGTAAATTCTTGATACCCATCATAGGAAGCTATGATTGACTACCAAACTTGCTTCGAAACTTTTTGAAGAGTAAACGCTTCTTAACTCAAGAGAGAAGCTATTTAACTCTTGAAGCTTAGGTCTCATTGCTTAAACCATAACTGAAGTGTGCAATTCGCACGTCATAAGCACATCTCTTTTGAAGCACGCACTTTAGACAAGATAGGAGGATATAAAAGAATTTTTTACTAACATTACCCCTTTTTATCTTCAATATGACCATGTGAGTGAAAATAAGATATATATGTTATGCATGTTGCTTAGTTTGTTATGATTCATGTCTATACTTCACGTATTTAATTTTTAGTTATTAATCAATACATGAATGTATCTATTTGTAAATTATTATACCACTATATATTATGTGTTCATAACTTTTACCAAGTTTAAAAGTAAAATACTTCAACCCATGAGACTTATGCCTCATGCTTTGAAAATTGCGCCTCGCTTCATTTAAGGGTCTAATGCTTCGTCTTGCGTTTCCGCTTTTTAAAACATGGATAACTACAGACTAACTCCATTTCTTGTTAGCAGACCTTTAAGATTTACACATAACTCCATAACTTCCTCAACCAATGGGCCACTGAATATAATTGCATTTAAGAATCATTCGCTTGTTTACTTGAATATGATTTTGATATTGTCCCTGCATAATTCAGAATACCCTATTTTCTCGCAGAAGAGAGAAAAAAAAAGAACTTCTCATTATTAAAAACTTTCCTTGTTGGTTTTGAAAGTTTTACACGAGCATGATGCAGAAACTTATAAAATCAACATTCTCAGTAATTGGTCATGAGACATTTAATAAGGAGTAAAGAAACTATATTTCGGTTTATCAATTTGTAAATCATAAGAAACTATTCATCATAAGAAGTACTTTGTTAGAGATGAAAGTTCTCTTGGACGTTTTCAGTATGTTAATTTCTTAGTTTTTTTATCAGAAGAAACTAGTTGAATGAAATTTAACCAAAAAAAAAAAAAGATTTGACGTTTAAAGACTATTATTTGTTGTCTTTTATTAATTGATCTGAAAGATGCAAAAGTCTTTGTTTTCGTTATACAATATTTGGGACTGTAGCTAAATGAATTATGGCTACCGGTAATGGTTGATTCAGTAATCCTTTTCCAACTGCGATACTGTCACTGCAATGAATTAGTTATACCTAAGAAGGTGACTATGAACATCCTATCTGATCTTGGTGGACCTAGGTTTAGCTTCTCTGATGTTGTCTGGAGATGTGGTGGGCCTAGGTTTAGCTTCTCTGATCTAATGGTCTAGAACCTAGTAGAGGTTCTTTTTTGCGCATTCTCTGTAAACATAGGAATAGAGTGATAATTTTTCAAATAGGGCAGTAAAGAGTTGTCTCTTCATATTCCAAAATGTAATTTATTGCTTGATAGACTCCAAAAGACTTTTGTGCAAAATCCTAAGTACTACAGTCTACAGAGATGACTATCTAAAAGACTTTCCAAAGTTCCTACAAACACAATTAGAATTCAATTAATCCGGATGTGTCCTATTCCCATAGAAGTGGTTTTTCTTTTTATTCCATCTCCTTGACTACCCGGTTCCCTCATTGCCTATTCAGTAATTTAGGGCTGCTTGGTTATTTGGCACCATGTAAATTTGTTCATATGCAACATTACATCTCATATTTTTCTTCTTGTGTCTTTGTAGGCACGGAGAGAGTTGAGTGATCCGGAGAATGCTGTAATCGGTGCTTTTGCTGGTAGTTTTTACGCTCCTTTTAATAGATCTCTTCCTTTGATGCTTAACTTATTGCATGCTCTTCTTTGATGTGGTCTACTGTGAAATGCCTGCAGAAGGTTTTCCAAATGTATGGTTCTGATTGCATGCTCTTCTTTGATGTGGTCTACTGTGAAATGCCTGCAGAAGGTTTTCCAAATGTATGGTTCTGAATTTATCATTCTTTGGCTTTATGGCTACTGTGAAATGCCTGCAGAAGGTTTTCCAAATGTATGGTTCTGAATTTATCATTCTTTGGCTTTATGGCCTTGTCTGATTTCTTGCATTTATAAGATGGAAACTTTCTACTTGAATTATGGACTGCTTGTTTGACCTGTAATCTGCGCAGAGATAATATTCATAATAACAAGGTATCATTCTTCTCTTCATAAGATTGGCAAATATATTGTTCTGATTAGCTCATATACCTGCAGAAGTAAAATTAAAGTTACATGTCTAACATTTGACATTCTTTACTATGTGTTGTACTTTGTCAACTTTAGACTTCCATCAGTAATAATATAGAATCGATCCTAACATCATCAGTGACGGTTATTTGTCTCTCTTTTAACACAATTAAATTCTTGTATAAGTTGAACCCAGAAGCGCACTCTCTGGTTGTATAGAATTCTGTTATATTGCCTCTTTGTTTGCAGGTGCTATAACTGGAGCTATAACTACCCCTCTTGATGTATTAAAGACAAGACTGATGGTTCAGGTAAAGTTATATATGCTTTATACATCTCCTATTTCACGAAGCCTTATAGCATCATGCATATCTGTATCTGGATGTGAACTTTACAGGGTTCAGGAGCGAAATACAAGGGACTTATTAGTTGTGCTCAAACTATTGTCAGAGAAGAAGGCCCTGCTGTTCTTTTGAAGGTTTGCTCTTCTAGTACTGTGTTCATTTCCTTGACTCCTAAATGTATACTTAGAAAGATATTTTATTTTGTGTTTTTGTCTCAAAAGAGTTAGTTCAGTAGAGTAACTTCATGCTCAAGTTGGTTGGATCCCCTTTGTGCCAGATATAGCAAGTCCATTTTATGATCTTGAACCATTCAACTGAGAAATTGTTTTTGTACTCAGAACTGTGTGACCAGCTATGGGAAAGTGTCCTTACTAATCCTTGATTTTTCTTAAAATCCTAATAAAGTAGGAAGAACACATTCCAATTTCGGCCCTGTGAATTTTTGGTCCTGAAAAGTGCTCTTTTTAAAATATATGGTTCATTTTAGGAAACAAATGGTTTTGAAGTATAATATTCTAGTCACCTGGATGGTCTATTGGGTAATGACATTATTGACACAGTTGTCAAGTCTATTACTCGTAGTCCCTTGAGAGAATTTCTGTAGATTCTTGGATGCATCATGTGAGATAGAACAATTATTAGTGTGTTTTTAATCACTTAAATGGAGCCTTCTTGTCCTATTGGTTGACACCAATTTCAAGACAATTCAACAAATAAGGCCTTCGTTGTGGACTTGATGACATGTTCATAGTATCTTGCATGATATTATAGTTTAGGGTAAATTGCATGGTTGTAATATAGGGTAACTTCCAGAGGATGGTATTGTAATTTAGGGTGAATTGCTTGGTAGTGTAATTTACAATAAATCATATATAACGCTCTCCATTTATATCTCCGGTGGTACCTATCATCCCTCAAAGTTTTGAAGAGCAGTTACCACCCCTGAGGCTAGCATTTTGAAAAGCATAATTGCCGATTGCAGATACATCCCTCTATTTTTTGTGTTTTTTGGGTGTTTTTCTTTCTTTCTTTTTTTTGGGGTGGCTGCCAATGAAGAAGTTTATTTTGCCCTTTGATTTAAGCAATATAGCATTGGCAGGGAAACAAATCACAACTATCATGCTAGCATGTATGCATGGCCAGCAAATGCTATTGGACTTGTGTCGGTGTATGCTTCCTTAGAATCTGAGTTTTGTTGAGCATTGATATCTCAGGATGTCTTCAAAATGATGCCGTATAGGTTGTGCCTTCATTTTTTAAGAGAGAGGATGCTCGAAATCAAAAGCCCCACCTGTACTTCTATTACCAAAAATGGTTGTTTTCAAAACAAACAAGTCACATCCCCAGATATAGAGATATAGATGTCACCATATTCAGATTACATCATATAAAACCAAAACAAATCATATTCATGGGCTCAAAAATCCAGAACACTAAAGTAAAAGTATCAACTTACGAAAGCTCAAACAACCCAGAGCCACAACTGAACCACTAATAACAATGCATCAGTTCTCATTATTTTTCTTTGTTACAGGGTATTGGGCCAAGAGTGCTATGGATAGGTATCGGTGGTTCAATTTTCTTCGGCGTTCTGGAGAAAACAAAGCAACTCCTCTCAGACCATCATTCTACCAAGAGCTTGAAATCTGAATCTTCAAAAGTAAAGTGATACTCGGGGGAATTTTTCTTAAGTACACATTTTTCTGCCAAATGATTAGATAACATAAGGTTTTGGCGGGATTGATTGTACTCTTTTGTGGCCAAGAAGAGGATGCTTTCATGATTACTTTTGTTAAAAGTCTGTTGTTGTTTGTTCACTTCCAGAATCAAATTTCCTGAACAGAATAGGCTCGACAATAGTTTTTTTTTCGGGGGCAGGCTCGCAATAAGTTATTTCTCAATTTTGTGTGGATTTCATGTCTTTCCTCTAATACTTTACCTTACAGTTGAAACTAAGTAAATTTGCACATTTTTTCTCACGAATTTTTCGCATATTGGGGTTATAATTCACCAAGAAGACATTGAAAATTATATGATAGTTTCACATGAATATGCTGAGCAAGATGTACTTTCCTTGGCCAACTCCATGTACGAGACTAATTCGATGTCTCCATGTACTAGACTTATTCGATGTCTTTTTAGGTGTGAATCATCTGCATATTAACTCTTTTTAGAAATTCATGTGCATGTTTATTGACAATATTTTTGCACTCGGATGTAATCTTAAGAGAATATTTCTTTTTATAAGTTGCTTCGTTTTAGTAACATGATCTGCTTCTTTGTCGTGGAATATTGGAATTTTTATATTAAATGTGGGTTGTCTCCAATAGTATCCATAAAGTCGCTTTTTCATTAGCTAGAATAAAATTTCTTTGGTTACAATAAATTGTTGAAGAGAAAGTTAATACCACTTGATAGAAGTAGGGGTGGCAATGAGCCATGTTCTGGTCGGGTACCTATTACATACATATCCATCATACCCAAATTCTCATTGTATGTCTAAACTTGATGCATTTTATTCAAATTCTGATTGTCTCTTGAATACATATCGAGCGCGTTCAATATCTTCACAATTTAGTTAGTACAAATAAAACAAATCTATTATTTACTGAAATAAAAAGGAAATTCTGGATAGGGAAGCATTACCTTATCAAAGCAATATGAAGTCAGTCCAATAGAAGAAAGATGATATTAACAATAACAGGTTGTCATTTGATAAACTAGCTTCCAAAACAGATGATGCACGAAATGCAAATTTAAAATAGATTTGGACTAAAAAGATAGATAATGGTATCTCTTGCTTTACAAATAAGATGCCCAATAATATCTAAAATACTTTAGTAATTGAAAATTTAGTTTTCATTGTTGAGCTTTTACTTTCACAAATGGTGATATATCTGAATCTCAAGATTTAGGTTATCAGGATAGTGGGTCTTGGATACAAGTAATCCAATAATTTTTTAGATGGGAATTTTAAATCCAAACTCGACCTGATATCTTTAATGGATCTACATCGCTATCTGAATCCAATCATCTGGGTTGGATTTAGGTTGGTTTAATGGATGTTGGACCTTCATTGCAAACCCTAGTTGGAACCCTTCAAGGAGATCAACCTCTTGAGATACTCAAATTTGCTACTTGATGTTTTGCAGGACATCATAGCAATTTAATGGAAATTACTATATTTCTTTGCACTTAACCGTTAGTCCATTCTACATAATATAGAAACATACTTAATTTTTCATTTTACCGCCCATTATAAGCCGGTTATTTGACACTTGAGTTTATATTGCTTTTGGTTCTCTGTGGTTAAGTTAGCTTGAGATATACATCTTTTTATCTCTTTACTATATATATATATACACACACATATGTATGTACGTCTGTATACACACAAGCACACCATAATTTCTCATTTAGTTAATTAATTATATTAATAAGAATAGAATAAGAATGTAGCATGTAAACGGAGCAAGGGTAAACATAAAAAAAACCCTCCTTTAACTTTGAATGTTTATCAGATAACTCCCCATATTTTTCAAATTTTAAAGATAAAAGCTAAATCCTAATTATCAATTACTTATCTACTAATTTAAAGATGTTAAGATACTAAACACTTCTCCCCAAGAATCTCGCGAGATAAATCGCCAATCCATCATGATCGTGCCATTGACGATCACTAGAATTAAACCGAGATAGATTTGAGGAAGAAGACTCTGGACCTTAATCACCTCAAAGCCCTAGAATTTTCTAGATCTGCCATTGCCGTGAAAGATCAATAATTTTGAAGAAGAGAAAAGGCGGCAAACTCATAGCTTCGTCGAAAACCACCACTAGCACCACCATCCGCTCATGATCGAACCAAACACAAGATATTGCAAGAATTAGGAGAACAACGTTCCTTGATTTGGCGGGAAAATCTCCCTCAGAGATCGCCTTCGCCCTCGAGGGAGAACTTCAATATTTATGGACTCGAGTGATTGTTATATATTGCTTCATAATACGATCACACTTGAACCATAATCTCAGGGTAATGTATATATATATATATATATATATATATATATATAATCTCCCTATTTTCGGATATGCTTCCAGATGATCGTATAGCAGTGAAGAGGCACATCAGCCCAACCCGGAAAAACACATCGATCATCTTTGAGTATTTAGTACCGTCGAGGTCTCGTTACGGGAAATACAACCAAATACTCCTAATGTGGTACAAACGATGTCTCATTACGGGATAAACAACCATACTGAGCATCCATAACTAATAAATTATGCATTGTCATGTGTTATGCCAACAACTATCGACTCAAACATATATTATGCATCTCAACTATGCATGTATACTCAAATAAAAACATAAACTAAGTGTTTGTGCACGTATCTCAATGTGTGTGCAAATATCTTGTGTACACGTAGAACTCAAGCATTAAACAGATCATAAACATCATATTACATGTCAACTAAATTTAGAAGATCCCTTGAAAACAGCAAACAGGAGTCGAAACATGCACAGACTTTTGCCTGTCGGGCGGTCAACCGCGCCTTACATGGCAGTCGACCAGACCATGTGTAAAAGCATACATGCATTCTAGGGTTCAGAAATATGATAAGAGAAAGGAACCTAGTCTGACTAGGAAAATAACCTTCGGTATTTTGGCCATAACTTTCACGTCAGACATCAGAATGAGGTGATATAAGATGTTTTGGAAAGCTATTGAAGAGAAATATAACTTTGGTCTTTTGAGTTTTTCCATATTCGGACTACATAAATGTGTAAAATACGTATACTTTTAACTTGTCATTTTTTCCTAGATTCAGGCCCGTGCACGTGTGAATGATATCATTTCTATTTTCACATATATATACATTGAATTGATCTCAAATCAATTTATAGCATACTCAAATATCAATAAATGTTATTTATCACAATGTAACATATTTATTATTATTTATTGCAAAATATTCAAAATTTCGGAGTTTTACATTTTGTTATGGGTTTTTGGGATTTTCTTGGGTTGGTTTCTTCTACCCTACATATGTATACCCCTTGTGCATTAAGCATAACAATCTAGAAGGGTTTAAAATTTTTTTGCAAGTTTGTGATTTTTAAAATTCTTAACCATGATTCATGTTTGCATATTTATGTGACTTTTCAATTTTTCATGAATTGTTTGAGAATATCTGTATTTTTTGCTTTCATGATTTCCATTCTTTTGATTTCATGATATTTTTATTTTTTTTATGCTTGTGTTATGAGACACCATTTTCAAATTGATATATTTATGTATCAAGACCTTTATAACACTTTGTCATAATGATACATATATATGTGTTTACTCCATCTTTTTGAATGTGAGTTGTGATTAGCATATTCTATATCTATGCTTGCTCACATGTGTTTGCCTTAGAATTTTTTTTGCTTTGTATTATTTTGTGCTTAATAGGATCATTATAAACACTTTGTTGATGATATTTACATGTTTGAGCTTATGGATCATATCCTTTGTGTTCTATAATGTATTCTTTTTGATATTATTTTTCCATAATTATCATTGCATACATTGTATATGGTATTTTGATAGGGGGGAGCAATCCCTATTTTATTTTATACTCACCTATGCTTATTGATAGGGGGAGCTTTCGCTCTCTTCATTTTTTTGTTTGTCCCCATTTTGATGTTGACAAAGGGGGAGAAACAAGTAAATTATGAGTATATTTAAGAGTGTTGTGCCTTATTGCATATTTTATATACTCTGTGTGTAGATTGTTTGTAATCATTAAAAGGGGGAAGATTGTTAGTTCTCATGGTATAATACTACATCCCTAATCTTGTTTTTATGATCACAAATAATCCCTAATATTGTTTGTCTAGTATTTGTACTTTCTTATTAGGTATTCTAGACAAACAATGTGTTGGAGGTTGGATGGATTGAGCCTACACGATCATATCAAGAGGAGGTTGGCGGAATAGTGGAGTGAAGCAATACATTTCAAGTCAAGATCTAAGATCAAGCTTCATCCACAAGTTTACCAAGACGATCTTAATGAAGATTTTAATCTTGAGTATATTAGTTTAAGTTTATATTATGTGTGTTAATACTTTAAAGCTCAAACTACACACATACACGTTTCGTTTTTATCGTATTATATGTTTTTGAGAAAATAACTTGTTTATGGATTAAATACTTGATTATAACTGTTAACATCTTTTATAAAGTCCATTAATCCATTTAAAATAAGTTTCAAACTTTTTTGAACTCATTTTGTCAAAATCAAGTTTTTTTGTTCATGTTCGTGCATGTGTTCGTGCATGTTTTTACAAAACAGATGAGTTTTTATAATTGAGAAATGTAATTTTAAACATTATTTTTCTAACATGTTGTATTACATGTTTATAATATTTTCCTAAAATTTTATCATTTTTAAGTTGATTTAAAGTGTCAAATTAATTTTACAAAATCGTGTATGTCAGCAGTTTTTAGAAACTACAATATCTGTGTTCAAACAATTATTTCTCACAAATGAGAAGTGATATTTAAGAAATTCTTTCTCTAACATGATGTTCTACATGTTTAGATACTTTTCTTAAAATTTTATGATTTTTGAAGGTTATTTATTATTTTTAATTAATTTTACAAAGTCAGATACACAAACTGCCAGACTGCTACAATACCCGCGGTCGACCACCGCGGTCTTCACGGTCGACCCCGCAGTGTACCGTTGCCTATAATGGCTAGTTTTCCAGACTTGATGTTTTTTTTGTCTTTTTTCTTGTTTTCTCTTGGTTTTTGGGGTTGTTTCATGAGCCTATATTGTAAAACCCCAAAATTTTTAAAAATATTATTATAAATGATAATAAATGAGTTTTATTATGATTGGTGATCATTCTAGGATGAATGGATCAGATTGGAATCGATTTGAGATCGATTCGCAGTTTTAGCCTAGGTATCGCGAGTCTACTGAAATCT